GATTTCAAGATTTTATTAGTAGGTTAGTTAACAAACCTGTTCATAATGCATGAGTGAAAGTAGAATGCCATTCCATCTCTCAGGGTTCCGCTGGTTCTGCAGGACTACTTGGAGGAAAAAATAATGTATTTTAGTCAGGACAATCAGCAGCTTTAACTCTGATTCTTACAGGGAGAAGATCCCTTGACAGAGATCATATTTTACTTAGAGTAGAAACACACTTTCAGCAGCGTGGGGTTCTTTATTTACATTTCTTCCTTCTAAGCTCTCTATGGAATGTATGTGTCTGATACTTCAAGGAATGAAATAAGAGAATCATGGATGTTACCAAAAAAAAGGCCTATTCCGCCATCTAGTCCACATTCCCCTGCCAACAGGATATTCTCAAATGCACTGCTAAGTCCATTTTTAAATGATTCAAACAAAAGGAATTCCATCATTTCCCTTATGATGCTACTGCACAGGTTTAACACACCTCACTACTAGGAAAGACCTCAAAATATTCAGCCTAAATTTACCTTTGTTCAGTCTGATTCCATTATCCCCTTGACCTGTCCTATAAAAATTCCTCTACTTCTTCGGCTTTGAGGCTACATCTCTCTCTTAGTTGTCATATGCGCAAGCTTTATGTATTTAATTCTTTTAATCGCCCCTCATAAATCCAGTCCCCTTAATTATTTGTGTTGCTCTTCTCAAAATACAGGAAGTCCATCTCTATGAACAGCTTAGGTTGGCCTTCCAACCTGCCATTATTTTTTTCCATTCCCATCAGTTCTTCTCATTTTATAGCCAATTCTCTGCTATACATGATGGTAGGCAGATATTAGTCATACATACATCAGATATTTTTGGCCACTAGTGTGGCAGTAAATTAATACTTCTTTAACATGAAAGTTTGAGAACCTTAAAGAAAAATAAGCAATGGAGAGTTTACGCTCTCTCTTTCTCGCGCGCGCTCTCATTTTGTTCCTTTTTGTTGTTGACTTCCGACCAAACCTTTATGCTTTCTCCCATGCTACCCTTCACACTTGGGAGGTGCTCCCTTTAAACAGCCATAAAGATACCGCCTTATCCTTTTTCAAATTGTTCTTTAACAATCTCTTTTGCAGCAATGCCTGCAAAAAGCTTGACCGCATCAGGCCACAGATGTGCTGAGGCTACACTGGCCAATATTGTCTCATGGTTTCCTCATGATCCCCTGTCTGTCTGTATCGACCTCCCTCTTGTCTTATACTTTGATGTAAGCTTTTTGGGACACCGGCCTCCTTTTGTTTGTGTGTTTGCACAGCACCAAGCACAATGAATTCTGAGCTCTCAGCCCAGTCCAATTCTTATTAAGTACAAAAATCTACCTCCTTTTAAAAGCCCCCTTCTCCTTTATAAGTAACAACACCAGGTTATATCAGAAACAGCGGTGTACTTCCAGTGGCTAGATATAGAGTAAGCAAAGACCAGATCAGCAGACACTGAAATAGGAGTAGACCTGAGGATATAAGAAGAAGGAGTTACTCACCTTGTGCAGTAACAGTGGTTCTTCGAGATGTGTCCCCGTGGGTGCTCCACTCTGGGTGCTGGTACATCCTTGTGCCGGCGACCGGAGACTTTTTCTAGTAGTTTCTGCCGTGCTGTGCACACGCCACGGTGCCCTCTAGTGCCGTTGGAGTCCGTTGGGTGCGCGCGCGGTGCGGCCACCTCCGTTTCTTCTCTACCTGCTAGAGGAATAGGCTCCAAGCAGGGGAAGGAGGGAGGGTAGTGGAGCACCCACGGGGACACATCTCAAAGAACCACCATTACTGCACAAGGTGAGTAACTCCTTCTTCTTCTTCAAGTGGTCCCTGTGGGTGCTCCACTCTAGGTGACTACAGAGCTGCTGTTGACTCATGGAGGTGGGTTTGGAGCCGTGTGGTAGTCACTGTAGATAGAACTGCTTGTCCAACCACCATAGAAGTTGCAATTGAAGAAGAAAGTGCGTAATGTTGCGCAAATGTGTGGCCAGATGATCAAGTGGCGGCGTTGCAGATGTCTTGCAGAGATGTCTTGCAGAGGAACATTGTTAAGGAAGGCAGTTGTAGAGGACATCGCTCTTGTGGAGTGAGCCGTTATGGATTCAGGTAGGAGTTTACCGTGTAACTCATAACAAGTTCGTATATAGGTAGTGATCCATTTAGAAATTCTTTGAGATGAGACTGCCTGCCCTTTAGATTGTTCAGCGTAGGAAAGGAACAGTCTAGGTGAGGCGTGCCAAAGCTTGGTGTTGTCCAGGTAAAATTCCAATGCCCTGCGGACATCGAGCGTGTGCCATGCGGCGTGGACTGGATCAGCGTGTGGTTTTGGAAAGAAGGCAGGTAAGTGTATAGGTTCATTGACATGGAAGGGGGAAGGCACTTTAGGGAGGAACTTCGGGTGGGGTCGAAGTATTACTCTGTCCTTTATAAATACAGGGTAAGGAGGATCAGCCATCAGGGCCGCAAGTTCACTCACCCTCCTGCTGGAGGTTATAGCAACCAGAAAGGACACTTTCATGGACAAGTGAGACCATGCACAGGTGGCTAATGGTTCAAATGGTGGTTTCGTCAGGCTCTTAAGAACATGGTTTAGGTCCCAGATGGGAACTGGTGGTCGAACCGGTGGGAAGGTGTTTTGCAAACCTTTAAGAAAGCGTCTAGTCAAAGGGCTAGCGAGGAAGGAAGCGCCATCGATAGGGTGATGAAAAGCTGCTAAGGCTGCTGCATGTACCCTGATTGTACTAAGAGCGAGACCCGATTGCTTGAGGGATATTAGGTAATCCAGCAAAATTGGGATGGGGCAGAAGCCGGACATGTTGTGTGTGAGTCTTTACACCAGTGGACAAATCTATTTCATTTGTATAGGTAAGTTTTCCTGGTAGAGAATCTTCTACTATTAATCAGAATCTCTTTTACTGGGTCCGAACAGGTAATCTCGGCTTCCTGGAGCCATGGAGGAGCCAGGCATAGAGGTGAAGTTTGCGCAGGTCCGGATGGAAGGTTGTGCCATGGTTCTGTGAGAGGAGGCCATGATGGAGCGGGCCATCCTGTGGAGGTAAGGGTATCACGTCTGCCTGGGCCAGGCAGGTGCCACCAGTATAACTCGGGCCTGATCTGCCCTGATCTTGTTGAGGACTCTGTGCAATAGAGGGAATGGGGGAAAGGCGTAAAGAAGGTGAGCACTCCACAAAATGGAGAATGCGTCTCCAAGAGAGTGTTTCGCCAAGGCCCCTCTGGAACAATAAAGGTAGCACTTTCTGTTGTTCTTTGTGGCGAAGAGATCTATGTCCAGTTGTCCCCACCAAAGAAGGATTGGGGTGAGGACCTGCCTGTCTATCTCCCATTCATGTTGATTGTGGAATGTGCGGCTGAGGGTGTCCGCTGTGATGTTGAGCACCCCCGGAGATAAGAGGCCACCAGGGTGACATGATGAGCTACGCACCAATTCCAGAACCTGATGACTTCTGTGCACAGGGATGGCGAGCAGACGCCTCCTTGGCAATTGATATAGTAAATACAGGTGATATTGTCTGTCATGATGGTGATGGTTTTTTGTGCTATAAGCTCTGTGAAATGCTGGTATGCATATCTGACTGCTCACAACTCGAGGAAGTTTATGTGGAAAGTCTGTTCCACGAGCGACCATTTTCCCTGTCTTGTAACATCCCCCAAATGGGCTCCCCAACCCAAGAGGAAAGCATCTGTCGTCAGTGTAAGCGTAGGTGTAGGACTCTGGAAGGGAACACCTTCTAACATGTTTCGTGGGACTGTCCACCAATGGAGAGAGTGGCGGATGCGAGGTGGGATAGACACCACCTTGGAGAGTTGATCTCTGGAAGGCTTGTAAGCTGTTGCCAACCAGGACTGTAGGCCCCTCATGAAGTCTGGCTAGTTTGACTACATATGTCATGGATGCCATATGGCCTAGAATCTTGAGACATTGACAGACTGGCATGGTAGGAGCTGTGCATGCGGTCGTGATCAGATAGCGAATGGTGACGAACCTGTGCTCGGGTAAGGTGTTCTTTGCTGCTACCGTGTCGAGGTAGGCACCTATAAATTCCAGCCTCTGAGTAGGGGTAAGAGAGGATTTTGCGAGGTTTATATGAAAGCCAAGGCTGGTGAGAAGGCATATCATGGTGTCGGTCATGGTCTTGGCTTCTTTGAAGGAAGAGCCCTTTATGAGGCAATCGTCCAAGTATGGGTATATCATGACTCCTTGACGCCAGAGTGCAGCCATTATGACTGCCAGGGTCTTGGAGAACACTCTTGGTGCAGTCGAAATGGGAGCACTCGTTATTGATAATGCCGAGTCCCCACCGTGAAATGTAGGAAACGCCTGTGAGCTGGATGTATCATGACATGAAAATAGGCGTCCTGAAGGTCGAGAGCCAAAAGCCAATCTCCTTGGTCGAGAGCGGGGATGATCGTTGCTAAAGTTACCATCTTGAAACGGTGGTAGGCAATGTACTTGTTCAGCCGCCTCAAATCCAGTATGGGATGCCACCCTCCATTCTTCTTCTGGGTTAGGAAGTAAGTTGAGTAGAATCCCCGACCCTGGTATGATGGAGGAACTGATTCTATGGCACCCAGTTGCAGGAGATGAGAAACCTCTTGATTGAGAAGAGTTTTGTGAGATGGGTCCCTGAAGAGGGACAGGGTAGGAGGGTGGGTGGGAGGACGGGAAGTAAATGAGATAGCGTAGCCATATTGGATCAATTCTAGAACCCATTTGTCAGATGTAATGAGGACCCATTGATGAAGAAAGGCCTGAAGGGGGTGGTGGAATTAAAGCATATTGGTCCTGGAAGTAAGCAAAGACCAGATCAGCAGACACTGAAATAGGAGTAGACCTGAGGATATAAGAAGAAGGAGTTACTCACCTTGTGCAGTAACAGTGGTTCTTCGAGATGTGTCCCCGTGGGTGCTCCACTCTGGGTGCTGGTACATCCTTGTGCCGGCGACCGGAGACTTTTTCTAGTAGTTTCTGCCGTGCTGTGCACACGCCACGGTGCCCTCTAGTGCCGTTGGAGTCCGTTGGGTGCGCGCGCGGTGCGGCCACCTCCGTTTCTTCTCTACCTTGGTTCGGGAGTCCTTCATAGAGTGCAAGACTTCATCCGTTTTCGCAAAGACTAGGGTGGCCTTATCAAAAGGTAAATCTTCCACCTTCTGTTGCAAATCTCTTGGGACTCCCAATGATTGGAGCCATGACAACCTGCGGAGGATGATGGCAGACGCTTTGGGAGCCGTGTGGTAGTCACTGTAGATAGAACTGCTTGTCCAACCACCATAGAAGTTGCAATTGAAGAAGAAAGTGCGTAATGTTGCGCAAATGTGTGGCCAGATGATCAAGTGGCGGCGTTGCAGATGTCTTGCAGAGGAATCATCGCAGTGTAGTTAGACGCTCTGAGAAGTAGAGGAGCCGATGTGTAAACTTTGCGACCCATGATATCTAGTACCGTGTAACTCATAACAAGTTCGTATATAGGTAGTGGTATTTCTGAAGTTTGGTTGTTTACCCTTGTGAAGGACAGAGTCTACTACTAATGAATTTGGCAGGGGATGGTTAAACAAAAACTCCGTGTTCTTAGGATCAATAAAATATTTGCGTTCCATTCTCTTGTTTGTTGGGGTAATGAAGGCCGGAGTCTGCCAGATGACATCGGCATTGAGATGAGACTGCCTGCCCTTTAGATTGTTCAGCGTAGGAAAGGAACAGTCTAGGTGAGGCGTGCCAAAGCTTGGTGTTGTCCAGGTAAAATTCCAATGCCCTGCGGACATCGAGCGTGTGCCATGCGGCGTGGACTGGATCAGCGACATCGGCAGGGTCCATGATAGCCTCATCCATGGGGATGGCTATTCTGGAGGCAACTGGAGGTTGTAATGTACGAAGAAGTTGGTACTGTTTGACCTGAACCTCCTGAAGATCTCGTTCCTGTGCCAAGGCCACTCTTTTAAACAGGTCCGGAATTTTCTAGCATCATCGCCAGGAGGTGGGACTTCGGCTGTGATTGCCTCATCTGGGGAGGACGATGAGTTGTGTAAGGGGGATCTGTCCTCCCCTTCGGAGAGGGAGTCCTGAATGTCAGAGTAGTTTGGGGAAGTCGGCTCTGTGACTGCAGCAGTAGTGGTTGGCGAGGCTGGTGGTGGTCTCAAAATTGTGGAAGGCACACTCAAAGGGCTAGCGAGGAAGGAAGCGCCATCGATAGGGTGATGAAAAGCTGCTAAGGCTGCTGCATGTACCCTGATTGTACTAAGAGCGAGACCCGATTGCTTGAGGGATATTAGGTAATCCAGCAAAATTGGGATGGGGCAGAAGCCGGACATGTTGTGTGTGAGTCTTTACACCAGTGGACAAATCTATTTCATTTCTTGACCCAGTGCCTGCATCACTGGGGGATCGAGATGCCACTGAAGAATGTTGAGAGCGCACATACTGGACATAGGAACTCGGTGTTGGCGGTGCTGACAGAGTATGACTCCGTGCCGGGGAGCGGTAACGAGTGCAGTCATCTCTCGGTGCCGAACGGTGCTGTTTCTGCGGTGCCAAGAGCGATGCAGGTGCCGGCAATGGTGTGGGTTCCAGAGGCATCATGGGAACCAAGGGTGGTGTCGTATTAATCAGAATCTCTTTTACTGGGTCCGAACAGGTAATCTCGGCTTCCTGGAGCCATGGAGGAGCCAGGCATAGAGGTGAAGTTTGCGCAGGTCCGGATGGAAGGTTGTGCCATGGTTCTGTGAGAGGAGGCCATGATGGAGCGGGAATGGAAACGGATTCGTTGCCGTCATCCTGTGGCTGTGAGAGGAGGCCATGATGGAGCGGGCCATCCTGTGGAGGTAAGGGTATGGCATCATGGGAACCAAGGGTGGTGTCGGTACCGCGGGCAACGTGGATGTCGCGGGTGGAGGCGGTGCCATGATCTGCGACGGTGCCGGTCAGAGCCGTGGACAGTCGGAGTGGACAGAGTCGCAAGTGGCTCCAGTGCCGTATGTCGCGGTGCCGATGATCTTTGTCTTGGCTCAGAGTGCACTCTTTTGTGCACCCGCATCAACTTATGTGATGGCATGCCGGAAGTCCCAGGTTTATCCCCGGTGCTGACCCGTGTGGCTGTCGGTGCCAAGGGTAGCGAAGAAGTTGGGGAAAGGCCCGTTTTTGAGGCCGTATGGCTGGAGAGGGTAGAGGGATGATCTTTTTCCATACCCTTACTCTGCGATGCAGTTTTTGAGGTCGTTGGAGAGTCGTTGGAAGAAGGCTGGAGGGACCTCTCGTACAGGAGAGTCTTAAGTCTGTTAGCCCAGTCACAGCGCGCTCTCGTGGTGTGTCTGGAGCAGTGCGGGCACTTTTGAGTCTGGTGTGATTCACCCAGACACTTAATGCACTTAGCGTGCCCATCAGACACGGGCATCGCATTGCAGCATGATTCGCACCTCTTAAAGCCCGGCGAGCCAGGCATGAGGCACTTAGAAAAAAAGTGGTGAACTGCAACAAGAAAAACATTTTATTTTAAATTAACTGGGTAACAGGAGAGGGCTAAAAAACTTGGATCGTGAGGAAAACTGGGGAGTAAACAAGGCAATTGTCTATTTTTTAACCAGAAAATGAGGAGAACTGAAGGCTCCATCTACTGCCGAAGACGGTAGAGAAGGAACTGAGGTAGCCGCGCCGCGCACGCGCCCAACCGACTCCAACGGCACTAGAGGGCATTGTGGCACATGCGCAGCATGGCAGAAACTACTAGAAAAAGTCTCCGGTTGCTGGCACGAGGACGCACCAACATCCAGAGTGGAGCACCCACGGGGACCACTCGAAGAAGAAGACGTGTTATCAAGAATCAACAACCTCCATTCTTCTTCTGGGTTAGGAAGTAAGTTGAGTAGAATCCCCGACCCTGGTATGATGGAGGAACTGATTCTATGGCACCCAGTTGCAGGAGATGAGAAACCTCTTGATTGAGAAGAGTTTTGTGAGATGGGTCCCTGAAGAGGGACAGGGTAGGAGGGTGGGTGGGAGGACGGGAAGTAAATGAGATAGCGTAGCCATATTGGATCAATTCTAGAACCCATTTGTCAGATGTAATGAGGACCCATTGATGAAGAAAGGCCTGAAGGGGGTGCTAGAATTGAAGCATATCAGTCCTGGGTGACAGAAGAATGGCTTCTTGGCTCTCGACCTGTCTTTCAAACCTGCTGTTTGTTTGCAGGCAGGTTGGTAGACGAGTGCTGTTGTTGTTGGCGTTGCGGCCTGCGGTGTTGAGGCTTTGGTCTCTGGCAGAAATCGTATCTGGGTTGGTGTTGTCTGAATGGCTCTCTGGGGCGTTGATAAGGCTGGTACCTAGTCCTCTTGAAGGGAGGAGTGTACATGCCCAGAGTTCTAAGAGTGGTTCGGGAGTCCTTCATAGAGTGCAAGACTTCATCTGTTTTCACAGAGAATAGGGTAGCCTTATCAAAAGGTAAATCCTCCACCTTCTGTCGCAAATCTCTTGGGGAGATTGGAGCCATGGCAACCTGCAGAGGACGATGGCAGATGCTGTAATGCGAGCAGCAGTGTCTCCTACGTCCATAGCCGACAGTAAGGCCGTAAGGGCGACATTGTGGCCTTCTTGCATAATACTGAGCAAGGTCAGTCTCTTATGGTCCGGAAGATGGGGAAGAAGGTCTTGTAGTTGAGAGTAGTTGGCATGGTCGTAGTCGGCGAGCATCGCAGTGTAGTTAGACGCTCTGAGAAGTAGAGGAGCCGATGTGTAAACTTTGCGACCCATGATATCTAGCTTCTTATGGTCTCTGTCTTGTGGGGTATTTCTGAAGTTTGGTTGTTTACCCTTGTGAAGGACAGAGTCTACTACTAATGAATTTGGCAGGGGATGGTTAAACAAAAACTCCGTGTTCTTAGGATCAATAAAATATTTGCGTTCCATTCTCTTGTTTGTTGGGGTAATGAAGGCCGGAGTCTGCCAGATGACATCGGCAGGGTCCATGATAGCCTCATCCATGGGGATGGCTATTCTGGAGGCAACTGGAGGTTGTAATGTACGAAGAAGTTGGTACTGTTTGACCTGAACCTCCTGAAGATCTCGTTCCTGTGCCAAGGCCACTCTTTTAAACAGGTCCGGAATTTTCTAGCATCATCGCCAGGAGGTGGGACTTCGGCTGTGATTGCCTCATCTGGGGAGGACGATGAGTTGTGTAAGGGGGATCTGTCCTCCCCTTCGGAGAGGGAGTCCTGAATGTCAGAGTAGTTTGGGGAAGTCGGCTCTGTGACTGCAGCAGTAGTGGTTGGCGAGGCTGGTGGTGGTCTCAAAATTGTGGAAGGCACACGGCGGTGGCTCCTCTTGGGCTGTGGCTCCCAGGGTTGCCATTGGGTGGCATATGGTGGAGGAGAATAAGCATATTGTTGTGCATACCACGGAGGTGGGGGAGGAGGATATGCATACTGTAGCATCGAAGGCTGCCAGGAGGGTGGCCTGGGTGCCAGGCTAGAATGTTGAGATGAGAATCTGCTTCTTGACCCAGTGCCTGCATCACTGGGGGATCGAGATGCCACTGAAGAATGTTGAGAGCGCACATACTGGACATAGGAACTCGGTGTTGGCGGTGCTGACAGAGTATGACTCCGTGCCGGGGAGCGGTAACGAGTGCAGTCATCTCTCGGTGCCGAACGGTGCTGTTTCTGCGGTGCCAAGAGCGATGCAGGTGCCGGCAATGGTGTGGGTTCCAGAGGCATCATGGGAACCAAGGGTGGTGTCGGTACCGCGGGCAACGTGGATGTCGCGGGTGGAGGCGGTGCCATGATCTGCGACGGTGCCGAGTGTTCCATCGGCAGGGCAGGGGTGCATGGCTTCTTAGACGGTGCTGGGTTGCTATGATGCCTCGGTGGTGTACCGCGGGCAACGTGGATGTCGCGGGTGGAGGCGGTGCCATGATCTGCGACGGTGCCGAGTGTTCCATCGGCAGGGCATCGGTGCATGGCTTCTTAGACGGTGCTGGTTTGCTATGATGCCTCGGTGCTGGGTGGTCAGAGCCGTGGACAGTCGGAGTGGACAGAGTCGCAAGTGGCTCCAGTGCCGTATGTCGCGGTGCCGATGATCTTTGTCTTGGCTCAGAGTGCACTCTTTTGTGCACCCGCATCAACTTATGTGATGGCATGCCGGAAGTCCCAGGTTTATCCCCGGTGCTGACCCGTGTGGCTGTCGGTGCCAAGGGTAGCGAAGAAGTTGGGGAAAGGCCCGTTTTTGAGGCCGTATGGCTGGAGAGGGTAGAGGGATGATCTTTTTCCATACCCTTACTCTGCGATGCAGTTTTTGAGGTCGTTGGAGAGTCGTTGGAAGAAGGCTGAAGGGATCTCTCGTACAGGAGAGTCTTAAGTCTGTTAGCCCAGTCACAGCGCGCTCTCGTGGTGTGTCTGGAGCAGTGCGGGCACTTTTGAGTCTGGTGTGATTCACCCAGACACTTAATGCACTTAGCGTGCCCATCAGACACGGGCATCGCATTGCAGCATGATTCGCACCTCTTAAAGCCCGGCGAGCCAGGCATGAGGCACTTAGAAAAAAAGTGGTGAACTGCAACAAGAAAAACATTTTATTTTAAATTAACTGGGTAACAGGAGAGGGCTAAAAAACTTGGATCGTGAGGAAAACTGGGGAGTAAACAAGGCAATTGTCTATTTTTTAACCAGAAAATGAGGAGAACTGAAGGCTCCATCTACTGCCGAAGACGGTAGAGAAGGAACTGAGGTAGCCGCGCCGCGCACGCGCCCAACCGACTCCAACGGCACTAGAGGGCATTGTGGCACATGCGCAGCATGGCAGAAACTACTAGAAAAAGTCTCCGGTTGCTGGCACGAGGACGCACCAACATCCAGAGTGGAGCACCCACGGGGACCACTCGAAGAAGAAGACGTGTTATCAAGAATCAACAAGAATGAACCAGAGTCATGATACATAGACCCTAAACCTTAATTAGTATCCCATAATGTGCACCCCTGCACCTGTATGGCATCCCACTGATATCAGTGAGACACTCTGTGGCCATAGGTATCTACACTAGAGATCCAGTTCAGGATCAGAGTATGAGTTTGGTCCCCTTGTTAACATGTAATCTATGCTGTTTGTGTTTTCTGAATTAGGTTTTGATATTGTTTAAGGGGAGAAGGCAACTGAGTGTCAAGACTCCTAAATTATATTCTCAACTCCGCTCCAGACTTCTGGCATTGCCAGACAGAACCATTTGCCTTTTATGTGGCTTAGTTTTTCAATCTATTGACAGGATATTGTATCTTTAGAACTTTTTTTGGAAGCTATTTTAAATAATAAAGAAAAATTGGTCATACTTTGTATTAAGGCTCCATTTATAAACGGTTTCTAAAGGATCGCTAAACAATTAATAGCACTTGCATAAGAGCTTTATAGATAGTTGTAAGCCATGGTTGTAAGCAGTCTAGGCAACTACTGGCCTCTGTAACAATGTATGGAAATTGAGTAATCATTTATTTACATTGACAATTTTGTATACTCTTTCAGAGAAGAGGAAGGCTGGTTTTGTGGTTAAGGCTCTAGGCTGTTCTATATAGACATAGCTCTGCCACAACATCCGGTGTGATATAACACAAGTTGTTTAATTTTGCTGTGTCTCAGTTCTTCATATGTAAAAGAGGGACATGGGTATTTCATTTCTCTCACTCTTTGTCGTTTTTGTCTGTTAGGTTTTTGCAGCAGGTACTGTCTCTTGCTAGCTGGATAAAGAGCTCCTAGGACAATGGGGCAGCAATCACAGATGTTGCCTATTGGTGCTATTGGAACATTAATAATAACGGAATACTTGCGGATAATTTTCAAGGTAATGACATGTATTAATGGACATGAAATTGTTAATCTGAAGTAGAAAGTCTTCAAATCTATTGCAATCTATTATGAACTGATTTACACTTCTAGCTAGAACAACTATGTTTTTAGAGAATGGTCTTGAATTAAACCATACTTGATAAAACATTTGATTTTATATTTGTTCCTCCAAAACAAGTGGGGAAAATGTCATATTACAAATAAATGAAAATAAACTGCCTCAGCATGGGAAGCAATCTCTTACCTTCAATATTTTCTTTAGCTTGATTGCAGAGGATCTGATCCTTAAGATGGTTAAAAAGGAATATTTAGGATTTTGTTTCCTTTTTTTTTCTGCAGGTGGGGGCTCATGTACCCAAAGTTAGGAGGTGGCAAATGGAGTCACTAGAAAAGAAATTCAAGGAGATTGGTATTTGGGCATCTGTTTTGAATCCAGCAATTAGGATGTATTTCCAAGAATTTTGAAAGGTGTATATGTCCTCATGCTTCAGGATATAAACCAAACTATGACTAATGGGGATGTTTGCAAGGAACATTCCCTGTGTGCAGGTTATTCCATAATTGCATCTACTAGGGCTTTGTAACCCTTCCTCTGGGTACATCTGTGATGCAATAAAAGACCCATGGCCTGGCCAGCTGATTTGAGCTTAAGCTGTGGTGCTATAAAACTGCAATATGGATCATCAGGTTTGGGCTGTAACCCTGCAAGGTGGGTGATCTCAAAACCCAGGCTTCAGCCCAGGGCCAAATATCTATGCTGCTATTGTTTACCCTACATCTCAAACCATGCAAGCCCCCAGTCAGCTGAACCAGTCTTTGACACTCCAGTGCCATGAGTTTTGTGTCACAGTGTAGACATGCCCTGAGCCATCTGATACTGGCTACCATTTGAGATAGGACAACAAATAAGATGAACTACTGGTCTAATCCAGTTCTAGTGGTGGCACACATACAGGACCAAATTCACAAGTGATGCACCCAATGGGGTAAACTAGATTGCCTTAGTTTCACAAGGACTCCTCACAAAAGGAGTACCACCAGGCACTGGCTCAGCTGCCCTCAGCATTCAATGTATGGGTCCATACGTGACCCACTATATTAAACACCAGAAGATCGACCTCAGGAACACTGATCTTCCGCATAGTGTAGATATAGTCCTACAAGGTTTAATGTGCCCAAATTCCATCATATTGCTCAGTGACTGTGCTCTCCCATATTCTCTGACACTGCCTTAAAGCCTCTCCTCTCCACATACAGGTCCTCAGTCCACTTCCTTTCCTTAAATTTCCTATTGGAAACTAGCTAAGTTGCACCTACTGAGGCAGAATTTAGACTCCTCTCCTGAGGACTCCCTGAGAAAGGCAGTATTAACAGGGCTGATATTTTGTGTTAAAAATTCCCTTACTATATGAAAAGTCTCAGCTCGCCTCCCTTCAGTGGATGGAAGCAGAATCTGTCTATAATAGTGATGCAAAAAGTAACACCATCCGGATGTGTAAACTTGGATCCGTTTTTTCACCTAGGATATCCTAACTCTATCTCTCAGTCTTAATTTTCTCTCCATTTTTCTTCTTTCCCCTTTTCATTAATGTTTGGGAAAACCTTGTCCCCTGAAGTATGAATCTTAATTATGCAATATTATGTATATACTGTAAAGGTGAAATCCTTTACATACAGTACTTCACCATCCAAGAGCATGATAATAAATTCCCAGACAAAATATATCACTAACATGTCATTAAAGTGAAAGAAGAGTAAATAAGGGAAGCACATTTAAAGAATACTGTTTGAAAAATTCAGACATTAGCCCAAAACTTAGATGTTGAGGTAAATTTTTTGTAAAAAGTTTGGGATTAGAAATTCACGTATTAAAGCATTTACACTGTGTCCCTCATGAATAGCTTGTGCAGAGAGGCAAGGAGAAGGATGTAATTCTAAGACACACTGGACTTGTATTCAAGAAATTGAGGCTCTGTTCTGAGCTGTGTCATTAACCTGCTGGGTGATCTTGAGCAAGTCACTCCGTGCCTCAGTTTCCCCAGCAGTAAAATAGCGATAATGATACCAACCTCTTTTGTAAAGCCTTTGATCTCTTCGGGTCAAAAGCACTAGCTACTATTGTTATCTTCACATGATCCCAAAGTATTTTCCATAGCTGATACATACAGAAATAGCTTCAACCGTATCTGAGGGGCAGTGTATGACAGCTGATTAACAGCTCACATCAGCACTACCCATTCGTAGCCAAACAGGGACTAATCCCTTCTATTCCTGTGAAAAATATTACAAGAGCTTTAACTCGAGCTGATGCCAACCTGATCTGTTCTGCCTACAAACCAAGTTTAAAAGCATAGGTCAGGCTCAGAAACTGTTGGGTTTGAGTTCTGTTTAACAGAGAGTGAAAAAGGAGGAGAAAGAGAAGAGTCAATGGATAAAAAAAAACTGTGAGGAAAATAAATACAAAGAAAAAGCAGGCACTATGTTTGGGGCACCTTCTCATGCCAGCCTTACTTGGAAGACTCTTCAGTCCCTAATAAATAACACAGGCAGTCCTCTGTCTTGGGGGAGGGGGAACGGTTTTGTTAAACCAAACCACACTTTTAAAATCACAAACAAACATGGATTTAAATTACAGGCCAAAGAAGTTTGACAAATTTAAACTGTTGACACAAGGCCTGGAAACTCCAAAATAGCTTGCAGAGTTTGCTGACTCTCAAAGCCTGCGGTATCAGCATCTTTAATGAGCACAAGGGTTCATTTGCCGTGGCTTACATCTCTGCCAAAAGAGGCCACCTCCAGCAGCACTCCTCCAACCCTGGGATATACAGTGAGGCACAGAAATTGTACTCAGGGTTATTGTGTGGGAGGATCAACCACTTATGATTCACTCAGTGGGCTAAATTTGTCCCTTATTTACACTGGTGGAATTTGATTGAAATTGCTTTCCCATAGTAGCTGAGAGGAGAGTTTTTGCCTGTTATATGAATGGGGTTTTTGTGTTGTGTTTATTTCGCTTTCTAGTCTAATAGCCCATGACTTCATTCGCTGAGATGCCGCAGTCGTCAGTGGTGGCCAGTCTCAGGAGTTTAGCACTAAGAATTCTAACTCCTGCCATTTGAGCAAAGAGGAATTGCTTCAGCTGTGTGCAGTTGTGCTCTGGGCTAGACCTTTTAAGTCCGTTTTGTACTACAATGTGGCTGGAGATGACCAGCGGAGAATTCCTTTGTGTAAGAGAATTCTCTGCTAGCGGAAAGCTGGCATACCGTGTTTTAGCATATATAACCCGTGGGTTATGCAAACTTTTACAAACCCCGCCTCCTTCCTCTTCTCCCTCCCCTCTCCCCACGGGCTATACTTGTTTGCATGTTATACAAGTTTTTTTTTACGTTGGTGGCGGTTGAGGTGCCAAATCAGAATCGCTGTCATAGCCTGAGCAGCTGTCACAGGGAGGGACCAAGCAGACAGAGCAGAGGAGGATGAGAAGTGAGGGAAGAGGTAATCAACTGAGACCCCATCCCCTGTGCCCAGCACTTCAAGTCCCATGGGAATACCCTGCAACCTTCTTCCCTCTGTTGCATCTGTCCAAATGCGGCTGGCTCTCTATGAGAGAGGGGGTGCTCTGTTTAAGGACACAGCTCCTTTGCTCAGCTCCTGGCTCTGGCTGCCTGGGGCAGACAGCTCACCCCCGGGGGAGTGCACAGCACAGGCGGAAGGCAGCTGTTGGAGATGGTGCGAGGGGTAAGCCCAGTCACCTTCCCTTCCCATGCAGCCTCCCGCAACACAGCCAGTCTGCCCTGTCGAGCTGCGGCCATCTACTCTGCGCTTTGGTGGTTGTGCAATTATGTATCTGGAGCGCCAATGCTTCTGAGTGACAGGTCCAGACCCTGACGCCTGAGTTAATTACCCTCATTATCGTTCATTAACAGTACGCATGGTTCATCTTCTGCGGGCTATACGTGCACGGGTTATCTAAGACTTTTTACACAATCAGGAAAAAACATGGGTTATGCATGGGTGCGGGTAATACACATGCGCGGGTTATATACGCTACTTTGTGGTAGTCACCTTCTGCATCAACTACCCCCCCCCCCAAGAAGGAGGGGAAGGAGAGAGGATGTTGGGAAAAGGGAAAGGCTTGGAACAATGTCTGGTCCTACACTGACTGGTGTAACCTCTCTGGGAGGGGTAAGGTACAGCTGCTCCTCTGCAGCGCTGCACGAAGGCAATCAGCCGTAACGAATGCCTCCCACTGCACAAGCAGACACAATAGAGAAATCTGGTTCACTATTGTTGCTGGAATGAGCCACTTGAAGAAGACATGCTCACATTCATTGACCCATTGCTTTAAAAAAGATACCCATGTGCATTTTATGGGTTTCAGGGACATTTCTCAGCTGTAATATCTTGAAGGATGCAACCGACAGGACTTCTCAGTAGACTATATTTGGTGTAATAGAGATAGTTTAGCCCTGTAGTCATATTTGGAGTATACTAACTGGTAAGATTAAGGAGGGGCCGATTTTCTCCTGATTGAATGAATATTATTTTAAGAGCTGTGTAAAGAGGAAAAAGCCATTTCCAAGTGCATAGCAACTTTTTGGGTCCCACAAACTTAGGAACACTATTATATAGTCATAAGAGCCCCTAGACTGTTGCCTGTATATTAATTAACTGTCTACAGGTACTCACATACATTCAGCTTCGTCTTTTTTAATCAACGATTCCAGCCACACTAGCCAATGTGGAGTAGAAGTTATATCAGGGTTGGCCAAAATATGTTTGGTTTTCCCTGGCCGATGACTCCATTCCAGATGTCAGCCAGACCCAGAACAAGGGATGTGTCCATGTGACAGCTTCACTCTTAAGCTCTTAAACCTGACCCAACAAGGTGCTGAGCTCAGGGACAGCACCAACACATGCCAAAAATAATACCCACACATTGAAATCTAATTGCATCCAAAATAAAGCCTGGAGCTTTTGGCTACAACATTGCCAAGATGTGGATTTTTTTTTTAAATGATGTCAGTATCAAACAGTTTTAATGCTGAGTTCCCCATGGATATCAGGGGAAAGTTTGACTTAAAACCCGAAGGCCTAGTATGGCCCATCATATTTATCAAAGATGCTGTTTTATTTTAAAAACTGGAGCAAACTAGCCATGCAGTATTTTCTTTATATGACTTTAAACCATGTTTTTTTTTAAATTTGGGCATTTAAAGCAAAGTATAGCAAGATTATTATTATTCTGTATAAGATCTGAACCCACCCTTTGTGGAGATGATCTGAATTTTTGGAACTTGACAACTATTGTGTTATAGCTAGGGGTAATTGCATGCTGCCTTCTTAAAATTACCCCCTGTAGTTTCAAGTAGATAAAGCATTAA